CATTTTCTGCAGGTGCGCGAATCTGCGGAACCCCGCGAATTTGCGGGGCCCCGACTATTTTTTGGGCTGTGCGCAGCGCTGCCTTTGTTTTTGGGCACCAGGGGGCCCGGCGGAATGTACGATAATGAGGTAACCCCGTTTTTTCTGCCGCGTACCCCCTTCTTTTGTGTCCTGCGGCCCGCTCTTTCCACTCACCACGCACCACAGACAGCAGTGAGTGCGGGAGAATCGACGCACAGACAGCCGAAGTAGCGAGCGGTCTGCTGCTGCAGCTGTAACTGGGTGTTGTTATGGATAGATTCCTCCCATCTGCCGGCGGTCCATCTAATGCGGCCAAAAAAACATGTGGAGGACCAACGTGTGCGATGAGATCACTACTGATCACCGCAGTCCACCAGTGCCGATGCGGGCGGCCGATGCATGGCTTCTGTGGCCAAGGAACCGGTGAGGAAGGCTTCGGGCAGCAGAGAGAGTGCACAGATTGTCGGAGGAGAACGGCTGCAGGCAAGATCGGCACCGGCACAAGTCCGATGGAGGTGGACAGCAGTAGCGACAACGAGGACAACAGCACCTGGTACCAGCAGGTGATGATTGTGATTTATAGAGGTCAGCAGCAGCAGCAGCAGCAGCAGCAGCACCCATCGGCCGAACGCGTGCTGTTGAGCTTTTGAGCAGGAAAGCGTGCACCACGATGTTACACGTACATTGCACGTCCTTGCCTTCGTCTATTTCTTGTCAAACAACAGCAGTGTCAGCATGCCAGGAAAACTCATAGACCACTTGCAACAGAACCCCCCGCACCCAAAAAAAAGCTCTGGGCGGAGGGGGGGTGGTGGTACAAAACAAATAGATTTATTTAATCCGCCTTTTTTTTTTAAGAATACACTCTACAGCAGCAGCAGCCGCGCCACGAGCGAGGGCACACACCGAAAACCTCCCACAGCAGTGGGCACACCCTCTCACGGCGACACAACAGTGGACAGGATGATCCCCGTTTCACCAGGGAAACCGTGCCATGTGGAAGGTGGCTGCAAGAACCTGCAGGCCCCCTTGGTAGAAATCCAGATGTGTCCAGGAATGTACATCCACTACACGCACTCCTCGTGCCGTGACTGGGATCACGCCTACTGCGGCCGCAACGGTTGCATTAGGCGTGGGTCAGGAGCGGTGCCCGCGGGCACGGGGGTACAGCAGTCCGTCGGCGAGCCCCCTGCTGGTGGGTCGGTGTCCGCAGCTTGGGCTTCAGCAGAGGGTCAGGCGATCCTGAAGACGGCGCAGTGCGCCGCTGGTGTCGTTGCAACCAGGGAGGAGATGGAGCCTTGAGCGGCCGGTGCCATTCATGCCAGGCTGCTTGCCACGTCGTATGCATGCAAGTGGTCAACGAGGGCCACGCCTGCACGTCCTGCCGTCCCGAGCAAGCAGGTTTGTGTGTCGAGCACGTTCTCTTTGAATCTACTCAGGGGGGGCTGTGTACATGTAGGTGTGTAGGTGCTGTGTCGAGTGGAGCCGTTAGGTCCATTTTCAAAAAATTTCAAAATTTCACGCAGCATGTGGGTGCGGGGGCACATGCAAAGCAACAGCGCGGAGGATGACCGCCGTCTGCTGTGCCTATCAGTAGAGCTGTCGGGAACGAGTTCGTTCAGGTAGCAAGGCATGAAATGTAGATGCGCACATGTTCGTTGTGGTATGGTCTTCTTTCCGAACCACATGTCGATGTTTCCGTCTCGTCCCTATCGGACAGGTGGGGCCAACGGCGGAGAAGCAAGCAAAGGAAAGGGGAAGAACCGCACGCCACAAGCGGATCCGCACACAGCAACTTCCACTACCGCTTCCTCCGCGGCAATCTCCACACCATGTGATCCTCGCTTAGACGGCGGAGGTTATGCCAGCTCCCGCAAATCGCCTCCTGGCCCCGGTCAGTGTTGCAGCAGTAGTGCTTTCGATGCTAACCCTTTGCTCCCTCAAAACTGAAGTTTGAATTTCCGGACGTGTCAAGTTAGAAAGAGCAACTCACTGCTGTTTCAATGGGAACTACGTACTTGTAGTGTCGGAAGCACCGGAGGGGTGCAGGCAAGCAGGAGTTTCATGCTATGCTGGTGCAAGAGACTAGGAGAGAAGCGGATCTAGGGCTTTACACCGACGCTGGAATTTGAACTCAGATACACCTTGTACGTCGGAGAGGAACGCAGACTGCGGTGGGGAAAAACGTTTTTTTTGGAGGTGTGTCAACCCTCAAATCAGCAAACAAAGTTGTTGTTCTATCTGAGCCCTCTACGCTTTGCCTTCGGCCTTGATTGCAGGAGAAGACGCCAAGACTCCCTCATCCGGGGTTCAAGCTGGACATGCAGACACGCCAGGTGATGCTCACATGTGTGCTTCACCNGCCAGTCACGGCACGAGGAGTGCGTGTAGTGGGTATACATTCCTGGACACATCTGGATTTCTACCAAGGGGGCCTGCAGGTTCTTGCAGCCACCTTCCACATGGCACGGTTTCCCTGATGAAACGGGGATCATCCTGTCCACTGTTGTGTCGCCGTGAGAGGGTGTGCCCACTGCTGTGGGAGGTTTTGGGTGTGTGCCCTCGCTCGTGGCGCGGCTGCTGCTGCTGTAGAGTGTGTATTCTTAAAAAAAAAAGGCGGATTAAACAAATTTNTGCGGGGGGTTCTGTTGCAAGTGGTCTATTGAGATTGTCCGCACAAGGCTGCGTGTGTGTGTGTGTATTTTTTTTTTGGTTATGACAAAAGATCGTCATTTTTTTTTTTCCTCCCATCATCGGACTCTGTCGTCTGCCCCTCTGGCCCCTATCCTCCACTTCTACTAGCTAGACGACCCAACCTGGGTTATATAGGAGGGGGGGGCTGGACCCCCTCCTGCGGTTCCTGCCTGAGGTATTTTTATCGCGAGAAGGGTACAGCAATCCCTTCCCTCGCGACTTACGAAGTCGATTATGGTTTATTAACGACGAGCTTTGCAACGCGTCGCTTTCATCCTAGACCAGGATTTATTTAGTGAGAAAAAACTCACTCTGCCGGGACCCGAACCCATGACCTGGCCCTTGGCAGGCTGCGAGGTTACCCACTTTATATGTGTCGGTGTGTGTGCAAATGTAGTGAGCGTCAAAAACCAAGACTCTCGCTACTGCTGTGCATCTTTTGGCACGCAACTTGCGCCTGAAGCCGAAGTGATTCTCGTTGTTCAACGCTGATAGAAAGTGAACTTTTGCACGTTCAGAGGACTCTGGTGTTTACGGTTCGCACTTGAAAAACATACAAAATAGACGCAGTCGCAACGGTACATGCGGAAAAATTTCCGAACACACAGACCACATTCCCCGGAGGGGGAAGAAATTCGAAAATTTGCCATGATGAGGTTATAATATGGATGGACATGCCTCGCTCTCGTTACCCGTTCTTTCTGCATCTGTTGGTCATCGATGCCGGCCCACGTTCACCCACCCGTGCTACTACAGGAACACACGGAAACTAGCAGCCTAGCTTGCGTAGCGCCTTATATCTACGAGAGTACAGTATTGGTCAAAAGCTCGAAATGAACCAGAGCAGCTCATCTATAATCCAATTCTTTGGAACAGGTCATGGACCAGGGTTCACAAATGTTGGCAAACCATCTATTCAATCACGTGCCTCGCAAATCTAGTGGTAGCCTTGGTCTTGTAGGGTTACGTTAGACTTGATCAATCTACCCCGCTTACTCACGCGGACCCCTACTTGCGAGTTCTCGCGCGGTGTCTCGCTACGCTTTCTGTGAGCCAGTCCCTCCTTGCGTTTGCCTTCCACTCCACCTGCCCGTCCTTCTTCCTATTCGTCTGCTACTTTTTCTTCTTCCTCTTCTTCTTCGTCGTCGTCGTCATCGTCGTCCTAGTCCTAGTCCTAGTCCTCCTCCTCCTCCTCCCCGTCCTCCTCCTCTTCCTCCTCCTCTTCCTCCTCGCCCGTGTCCTATTTGTCCACGTCCTCGAAGGACCGGGTGCCGGCCATGTTACCCCCAGATGCACCGTTCCCTTCCACGCTCCCAAGTGCGCCAGGGGGGGGGGCCTGACCACGTCGACGAGGCCTCCCGGCTTTAAATTTACGAAGCACCTTGGCCTTCTCGCTCTCTGAGATAGTGCAGGTCTCCTTGAAGTTATCGGCTCCCGTACCCTCCGCCACAAGTACGTCCGCCTGGTGGCATCTTGTGATGTGATCGGACATGCTATACTTCCAGATGTAGTTGTACTGGGAGCAGAAGAAGCACTTGAAGACCATGTTGGTGCACAGTGAGGTATCTGAGCCCGCCCTCGCACTGCTCAGGTTCAGAGCTACGGCCTCCTGGCGTGCGTCGCTCCGAGGCGCTGATGGACAGGTCGAGTGCACAAGGGGCCTGGCCTTGCCTGGTGGGTCGTGAATGGTGGTGGGGCGCCCGACGCCACCACAGAAGCCGCAGGCAGTGCTCACCTGCAGAGCCTACAACGAAAAAAAAGCGAGAGGATGGCTCGTGAGGGTTGAAACATGCGACATGAGTCCACGCGCGTCCGGTAAGAACCGTTGCCCAACGTCTCGCCAAATAGTAGGACAGGCGGACAAGTTGAAGCAGCGGGCCACGCAAGTGAGGTTTATTCCCCACGCTAATGACGAACGACGATGCCGTGCACGTGTTCAGCATAGCACACCAAAAAAGTATCAAATAAGCTTCAATTTCACTCATTATTGCATTCCAATCCCAAAAACACTGAACAACACACGCACCTTGTCCTTCAAAATGTGACCTCCTACGTGCAGTCCCATTTTCGATCGTTGAACTTCTCGAGCGCAGAGTTTGCAGCAGATCTTCTCGGAGCCCAGTCATTCCGACACGGCCACGCCCAATGTGCCAGCCTGGACATGAAACAGGCCCTCGTGGAGGGGAAGGGGGTTGGCGTCTACGGCAGATATTTTCTTCGCCGGGAGGTGTCGCCAAGCGCTCAGAGCGTCGACCTCTTCCACGAGAATGTTTTTCACAGCGATGAGGTCGGCAAGTTCAAACTGGAACGAGGTACGGTCCACACTCTCCTCGATCTCGACTTGCTCCTGCACCATCGGCCCAGTGCCAACGACAGTGCGTAGCACGGTCGTTTTGACCACGGTAGGCGTCGTCGTCAGGATCCAACGCTAAGACGAGGCGACATTTGCAAGATAGCTCCCCTTTGTGGAGTCCCAGGTCTCCCCAGTGTTGCCATGAGTCCTTAGCAGGCGCACCGTCCTCACCAAAATCTGAAGAAGAGGTTCCATCACCCTCCCCCAGCCGAACTGCACCAACTGCAGGCGCCACCTTGGACCGTTGCAGCTTCATCAGTCTACCCTTGAAAACAGGCGACCCATCCTGCGCCTGCTCGTCCATTGGGGCCTTAGTGCAGGAGAACAAGCCCAGGGCGTACTGGGCTGGTCTCATTCCCGGGGTCGCCACCAACATAGCAAACGGGTCCCCTACAACAATGCCTCGGGAATCTGTGTTGCCAATGCCAGCTGCCTCCTCCCCCCTCCCACCGACACCGCGTGAGCCGGTAGCAGATCCTGATTGCCCCGCTGTATAGCCTCGCAAGCGCTTCAGCCGATCTCTCGACGCATTCTGGAACGCTGGACCCATGAACTCCGTCAGAGCTCGCTGCTTGTGAATCTGCTTGCCGTCGACCTCGCAGGACGACGTTATCTCGCCAGGTCCACTTTCTGTGGCGTGAAGAAAGGCATCTAGCTCACCCCCCGCAAGGCCTTCAGTTGCCCTGCTCTCCTTCGCCTGCGTCATCCTCGTCCTCAGAACCTTCCCTACTGCTAGGGGCATCAGTCGTTCCTTGTGCCCGAATGCCTGTTAACCCTCCGTCCGGTCTTGAACAAAAAGGAGACCAGCGCATTCGGGACAAATAAACAAGTAAGCGCAGCATGCGTTACGCTATTTGATTTTGGCACACTTGACGATTTTCCAATGAAGCACAGCGGTTTTGAGATTAGAACAAAGGTGTGGCTGCTTTCAGTGCACACTGACATCGTAAGATGATAGTCGCCCTACTTCGGCATGCTACGCCTACGACAAGCACCGAACCTATGTTGTCTTATTGTGCTAAACCATCACGCAATCGTAAGATTACCGCAACCTCTTCGCTTACCCGAATGGCAAGAACGTCGTGACGCCAACCTTCTGCAGCTCTGAGATGGTCTCCCTGTTCACCGACGCCTCATACGAAGGGTGCCCCCGCAGTATGTCAACGGCGTCCCTGTTCCCGTCCTCCCAGCATGACTGCACGTCCACGTGTCCAACGTCGGTGTTGTTCGATGGGCCATTGTCGTCCCAGTGGCGAGTGTTGGTGTGGTAGAGTGAGTCGCTGAGGCGCCTGGAGTTTTTTTCCACTGCGGGTGCTTCTCGTACACTTGCTCCACCCCGATGACTGCGCCGAACCGCTCGATTGCCTCCTTCGCGTCCACGTTCGAGGCATGCGTCAAGGTGCGAACAATCGCGAACAGGTTTTCTAGCCCATCAGTCCCAATCATCCAAAGGTACAGCCTCTCTCTAGGGCAACGAACTTGCGCCTCGAGCACCACGTAAAACAGAAGCCTGATGGTTGCCTGTAGATCGTGATCGAGCTGGCCCGGTTTGAACCGGGTCTTCTTCATCCTGTACACAAACAGGAGCAGGAAGGCGACTCGAGCCAACCCTCGGAGAAGCTCGGAGATCTTCTCCTCGGAGTTCAGGAGCACATCCAGCAGGGGCTCAGTGATGGACGCGAGAACCTGGTGGAGAGGGAATAATGATACGGGTGTGGCAAGAGGCAAGGGCGTTGTCAAGGGACGCTCCTAGCACCGTCATATTCCTTTAAGCACCCCTTTCCTGGCAGTCTCATCAGGGGAGGAATGGGACCTATGCCTTTCATGATGGCCCGCGATGGCCAGAGTATGTAGCCACTACGGACACGGCACGGAAGAGTGGCGGGTAACGCTGAGATCCTCCGGTATTTCTTACCTGCATGTCTTCCACCGCGGCCTGCATGGTCGGACTCGCGTCCAAGCCAGCGAACGTCGGCTTGTCAGCAGCAGCAACAGACACGACCGTCTGCATCATCTTACCCGCCAACGGGACGTTTTGCCTGCGCCATGTTGAATGAAGCAAGGGACAAGGGGACCAAAGTTCATCTCGAGAGTTGGTGTGTACACAGGGTATCACCGGTCGCTGGTCGAATAATGACATGTTAAACCTCGTATCAAATAGGTACAACAACCGTGGTGTGTAGTTGAATCATCGCATCTAAATGGCAGCACATGCAACACAGGACGCACTTATCGACCACATTGAAGAGCTGCGTAAAATCCGTTCCAGGAGACCACATGTTGAACAACCGACGAAGCGTATGCTTGTTCAGCGAAAGCCTATCCGCCGCGATTAGCACACCTATCTCGCTGTACAAACGCGTGCGAATGCGCTTGGCGTTGTGCTTCTGGTCCATCGATTTCGCCCATGAGCCCTCACTCATCAGCGGATGCATCATCACAAATTTCGCCAGGGGTTGTACAACGGGAGCGAGGGGATCACTCGCCATCTCGTGAAGCATGCCCCGCCGCACCGAGTCTCCGTCCGTTGCCACACGCACGATGCGGCCAATGACATCTCGGAAACGTGGGTCTTCGGCACACACCCGCGTATCTGTTAGTGCGATGAATTTCGGGAACAAGATTGGACGTGCTTGGCGCTGGGTCATCGTCGCGATGGGATCACGATCATCGTTGTCATGGTCTAACATCAACCAACCTCGAAATCCACCCGTGGTCGCACACAATCGAGGAGAGCCACCACAAAAATAGGATGGAATCACGCGACGCATAGTGAATCCTGCGAACAAGTTACAGGCCCAAGATTTCCAGATTAATGTGCGCGGGAGAATGCAAAACAACCAGAAGCATCATAGAGGATGCAATGTGCATAGAAAACTAGAATAGACGTGCACGACAGGGTAAGCAAAAAAACCTTCGTAGTCTTACCGTACAGCAACCTGCTCACCGTCTCAATGACTCGTCGCTGCTGATCCGGGTTACTGGCCTTGCAGCTGCTGAAGGACACCACGGGGAGAGAGTGGTTGGGCGGACTCCCGAACCCTTGCAGAGAAAATACTGTGTTTTCGCTGCCGAGGTGGATCTGTCCTTTCTCCAGCTTCCCTCCGAGGCGTTCCACGTGTTTGATGTTTTTGAAGTACACATCGGATTCCCCTGTGCATGGCACACACAATCCCAGAATCTGCACATTGGGCGTGAAATCCAAAATGCATTAATCGTTTAGGCAAGCAGCGCACTCAAGGAACAGCGGTTGCGTGTGTCTTCGAGAAGCTAACATGCGAGCGTTTCGCTGGACCCGCTACGACGCTTCGACAACGAGGGTGAGTGCCTAACTCACGGTATCGTTGTTCTGGAAGTGCCTCGCGCGTTTCTCCTGAGCGATCTCGTCCACTTGGGCCTGGAACAGACGGCTCCTCCCGCCGTACACTTCCACCGCTTGCAAGTTAGCTATTACCGCCGGCTCCAGGATTTCATACTTTAGCGATGCACACGGTGCAAACGACATCTGCCGGGCACCACCCAAGACCAGATCGGGATAGCGGAAATTGCGCGGTTGCTTTTTTTTGCTCGTGATCCAACTTAGTGGTTACCTTCACGGCAAACGACCGACGGCCTAATTGGGCACACAGATGTTGAGAGGAAAATGAACTTTCGCTAACGGAAGGGGTGTTTGGCATAATTGATGTGAAGCAGAGGTCGAGCATGTCCTGCCACCGACCACCACGTTGTAGCGCGTGGGATACGCCCAACACGCACGCTCCCAATACAGTGCACGTTACGACAAACATGAACTACGCCTATCAGCCGCATTGTACGATTCTCTGCACCTCACCTTTGACAAGCCTGTGGTGCTGTAGTTCCTGGCATGGAATACAGCTCTCCCCGTAGCTTGCGACAGTCCCTTCACACCCCGCCGTTGATCCTCCAGTAGCGCCAGTCGCGAACAAAGCCACAGATCCTTGACGTACAACCGTCACCCACAGTTGGTCATCGTCGATCAAGCCGAAGGGGTAGCTCTTGCTCATGGGGAACTCCAGCTGCGGCGCGTACCCACAACATGATGGTCTTGTTGTCGTAGATGGTGGCGTCATGGACGATGCCGGAGGTGGTGTCGGTGTCGTAGGTGGCTGCGTCGTGGACGAGGCCGGCGGAATATCTACACTTAATACTTGGCATTCATCGTCATCAGCTTCCCCGGTCGAACTGGTCGCATTTGTGCGAACGATACCCCCACTCCTCGTCCGTGGAGAGCAACGTTGCAGCCCCCCGCCGGTGCCACCGCCGCCGGCGAAGGAGCCGGCCGTACTACCGGGGGCGTACGTTGCGCAAAGGACAGCAAAGTGGTCTGATAACTCTTGCCTCCACGATCGTCTGAAAGCAGGTGAATGACGCACGGGGGAACATGAAACAGCGCTTAGTGTCAGCCGTCATTATCTAGAGTCCTTGCCTGCACGATCAACATAGCAGCACACCAATAGCCCAGCCAAGCACAACAGTGAAGACAAAGTACATCGCCAATAGTAGCCGTGATTTTTCACCTGTGCTCTAAACCGTTCGTGTGCTGGTCGACGTTTGTCTTCGTCCATTCGTCACCATGTTGGATATGCTTGCCACACGAGCAGATCCAGTGTTCGTTGCCATCTTTCTTCGCGATTGCTGCCACCGCCGGTTGTTTACTGGGCGGAGTTGGCGCATTTTGTCGGCTTCATCGCGGAGCTGCCGGACAAAACACGTGCAGGACGGTGGCCGGTTAGCTAAACTTTACCAGGCCATAAGCAGAACATATACGAACACCCACCGTCCATTCTACCAAGCTTGGTCGTGGTCACGATCACCTTGAGGTGCTCGGTGCACAAGCACCACTTTGTATGTTGCTTTGTCAACGAAACACACAGACTTGACAGCAGTTTTCGTTACGCTGGAACAGAACAAGAGTTGGCTTCAAAGCAGTCTGCTGGCGCAACACAACAACCAACCAAGTTACACCGCTGTGTAAATTCAGCACACAAGCACAGCAACAGTAATCCTCGAGTCAAGGTCTACAGCAGTAGTTCACCAACTTGAGTTCACTGTAAAACATTGCCGGAAGCACGCCCAATGGATGGTGTTACACGTTGTGGTGCTCTGTACAGCAGTAACGACAAAGAAGCGGGGAATTATTTGTAGTGGTTCCGCCAAGCAAGCTTGGTTCCGCGAGCAAGAAACACTTTTACCGTAGGGTACGCAAGATACCACACCCCCCTGGACCGATATTCGATGTTCAATTACTCCACAGTAATCCAAGGAGTGGCGATGCCAAAAAGGGCAGCGTTGGAACTGCTCCGTCGAGGCTATTCCGAACATTTCTTAGAAGTTTTTGATGTTGGCATGCTATTCGTGGAGTGTAGTAGTCGAGCTTTGACAATCGGTCCAGCAGGGTGTGGTATCTTGTGTCACCGACGGTACTTGCGGACAAAGCAATCATGTTTGGAAAGCCACTACACACCAGGTACACACGTTATCCTGTAGCCTGAGGCCTTCCCTACGACTAGATATCTATCGTCGTTGTGAGGTGAAGCGGTTGTCACGGCCTGATGGCCTCTCCCGTGCATACCACTCGAGGTGACGCCGCAGTCATCTACTGGTACCACATCTGCAACAGCAGTCGTGTGTGCGGCGAGATCACGAATCATGGTTGCCAGCCGATCAGCCGATTGCTTCAGGCTCATGAATGACGAAGCAGGGACTGGTTGCACTGGTCGAAACCAGGTCTGTCTGGGGCCACTGACCTGTGCTTTTTGCCCTGCTCGTGACGATCCACGTCCGTGTGTTCGGGTACCATCCGTATGCTTGCCGAACATGTGCTTGCACGTGCGACATCTCCATCCGTGTTGCTCTGACCAATCGGCCACACGGGCGACTGGCGGGCTAGCGACTGCTCCCCGATTCTCGTGGGGGTATGCATGAGAAGATTGCGAAGACGATCCTGTAGTGTGCGGGGTGTCTGCCATCTCTCGGCGGTCGCCACTGATCCACAGCGCCAGCAGCGCCAGCGGTGATGCAGACAATGAGAGAGCGGGACGCCAAAGCGCCGAGGCCTCGGCGGAAAACCCGGGGATCATGGGTATATGTCCCCCCCCCCCCCCCCCCCCCCCCCCCCCCCCCCCCCCCCCCC